GCTGTGGTGATACATTGAAGGATTGGTTAAAGTGAGTACTTGATAGCCTTATTGAAACAGTTCCACTGGCTGTTTCCAGGCACAATTCAGAGTGCTATTTATGACCTATAAAGTCTTATATGGAATGGGACCAGGACCCCAAAATACTACCTTCTCCCATGCAACTCTGCCCAGGTCTTTGACAAAATCCCTTCTTTCAATATCAGGCACACATTTGCTGATGATGCAGGTGAGAGCCTTCTTGGTGGCTGCCTCAGGCCATGCATCTCACTGTTGCCAAAGCCCATATACACTTTTTCTCTGCTGTCCTTTTGCTGGCAGGCACAAGCTTTTGTGTTCAAACATGCCTTTTGCTGTATAAGTAGATTAGTTGGGTTGGATGCTGCTTTTAATTTGTTACTGCTGTGTTTCACCTTGTTTTAATGCATCATTTCAAGTTTCATTTATGACTGTAAATAAAATTAGTTCCACCACTCATGTAGAGAGGCAGGGCACAATAAATAAATAAGGGCAAACAACTGGAATGACTTCTGTGCTTGTGTTCTAATGTGATGGTTAGAGTTTTAGAGAAAATGTGGCCCTCAGATGTTATTGCACTGTGTGGTTAACTTGGTCTTGGGCTGGGGGCCTCTACACTAGGATAAACCTACACTATCACCAAATGTGGAGGGTTACTTCTATTACTAGGCAAAACTGGCCTTCATTCCTTCTGCCACCATTAAACTACATCCCTTGATTTAACATGAACCTTTTCCCCTCTAAGATAGCTGGTCGCTAGGCATGAGGCAATTTGGATCAGAAGTACCAGGAGAGTACCAAGACATATAGTATTTTATTTAAAAGAAAATAAGAAAGTTTATTGTTTAAGAATATTTTACTATTTTCAAACAGAGTTTCTATACTGTTAAGCCCTGTTAACTCACAGGCCTAACAGGGAGGCTTGAAATGTAGTCTTCTCATTGGTCAGATTTTTCTTCCACTTGGAACTTTAAAGGTTGTTCAGTTGGCTTCTTCAGAAGTCTTCAGTCAGGTCCAGCAGCCGCTCTGTCTTCAGATCACTGCCACCAGCTGATTCTCAGGCTTCAGCCCTTTCTGCCAAAGGCTGTCCTGGGTTCTTCCTCTTCTCATAGGCAGAGCTTCAGCCCACTGTACTTTCACTAGTCTTGGCCTCCTGGTCTCCTAGCTGCTCTTCTTGACTGGTTAATTTTTCAGGCTACTCAGCCTCTCAGGACAACTCTCACCTTTTGTCAACTGTTCTTTGCCAAACTCTTTACGCTCCTCCTGACAGGCATTCTGAAATTTGCTTCAGTCAGAACCTTCCAGCCAGTCGGCTTCGATGTGGCCAGCATTCTGTCATCCCACCTCTGAGTAAATTTAGGACCAATAGCCATCTTCAGAATGCTGAGTTATTCTCCAATCAGAAGGTACCAATTTCAATCCTACCTCCCCATGTAGAAAGACAGAATTCCAGCTTCATTTTCACTTCTTAGTGATAAACAGTAACTGTCAGTTTGCCCCCCACACCATATGTACAAAGTTACTCTCCTCAGGCACAGTTCTGCAGTAAAAACCATGCATTTTCCTCCTGCTTTTAACCCATGTGGATCCCAGTAAGGAAAACAAAACATAACAGTTAAACTTTTACCTCAAATTTACCTCAAGTTTCTTCAGACTGCAGCTCCCCTCAGTTCAGTCAACCAACACAGCCAGTGGTGACGCTATCGTGAGGCTAAGTGGTGAGGCTCAGTAAATTGATTTCCTTGGAGTTACTCTTTTATGGATGGCTGTAGGAGCTGAACATTGTAGGATAAAACTTGCTACCATACCTGGAACCACTGTTCTCTGCACTTTTTAAATTGGCTGTGTCTTCATTACTAGCACAGGTATAATTTAATGCAAGTAACCATGGTTCTAGTTTCTGGTTATCTAGTCTTGCACTCTTTAAAGACTTTTAGCTGAAATAAAACTCCACCTTTGTGGGGATTTGACTTATCTCCTAATTGAAAACTGTCCTTGATTTTATAGACATTTGGCATAGTTGCTCTGGAGTTCATTAGTGTGCCATAAGCCCCTCATGCTTCCTAAGCATGACTGATAGCTTGCTACTTTTCTAGGAAGCAGCTCCCCCGCCATCCTGCAGAACATGACTAGATCCATTTATTTGTGTATCTGTGCAAAGGCATATGACAGATTGCTCTATTGGCAGTCCCAGTATATGTGTTATTACTGCATACTCTTTGAAAACAAATATACAAATGAGATATCCTATCTGCTACCTAGAGAACTGTTAACAGCTCTGGCAGTTTCCGGGTTAGAGTGTAACCAGAATTTTAATAGCTTAGTATTGACTTTCAGAAATACGGACCAGTGCAGATGTACTGTGAAAACACTTCAGCCCTAAGTGACATTCTCTGCCAAGCTGTGCTAGTGGTTTAGTAGCTGAGAGAGGTATAACAGGGAACTGGATTTGCTAGAAAGGGAACCCTTTCTCTCTTACGTAGATAGCACTACGGGTATGCAGCAATTCCCACGTGTCCCTTAAAACTGGAGAGGAACAGAACTAATGCTTCTTTTCTGTCGTCACAGAGACAACTGAGGACAACACATTCTGGTTGAACTTCTTGTAGCATTGCTAATTAATTGACCTAATTAGAGATTCAAAGGTTTCAAAGTGTTAGCCTGAGACAAAAATGGATACATTTACCAAGGGTACCCTTTTTAATTTGGTGAGGCTCCACACTGAAGTCCAGAATAGGTTTGTCGACTTTCCTTTGGGGGCTGTTCCAGCAGCAGAGGTTCAGAGCCAAATAACTATGTAGGTGAGGCCAGAATACATGCTTTCTTTTGAAATAGCAGATCTTCATTTTATGTCATAAATTGATTTATGAAGATGGATCTCGTTTTCAAAAGTAGTTCACAGTATTGCCGTGGTCCTGTTGTATGGGCAGTACAAGTTCTTTTGGGCACATAAAACTTACGACAGGCTAGTCTCTTTCAGGGCTGGCCAGGATTTAAGCATAATTAGTATTTTTTTTCTGTTGAGAGCAATGCAAGGGCTGTGGTCCACTTTGACAGAACTACTGGAGTTTTGATTATTTTCCATACGCTGCCTTTGTAGGGGTTTGGCCCTACTTTTAAGTCAAGGGAAAATTTTCCACAGGCCAGATTTGCTTAATAACCCTAGTATATGTTTCCTTAACTTGGTACCTTCCAGATGCTTTGAGTATTTGCAATCATTAGACATGCTGTTTGGGGCTGATGGGAGTTGAAATCCATAACATCTGGAGGGCTCCAGGTTGGGAATGATTGCCCTAAAACATGCAGCTTGTTGTGGGATGGGTGATCTCTGTTCACTTTCCTAGTTCCTATGCCTTTCAGGATGAGAAGAATAAAGCATTGCAAGTATTCTTTCTGAGCCATTTGGCAAAATGTTTGTGACATCTTTTCAGGCACTGAAAGCTTAGCCTAGGCATTTATTTGCATATAAGCCTTATGTAGGAAAACGTGAATGCTTACATGTGGGTATTTGGCAGAAGCAGTGAGAGCAGCAAAAAGGCAATATCTGACTGCCTCCATTCAGTTTTCTATTTGCTGCCCAGTGGAGTTCTCTAGGATTGTCTGAGGCCTACCTATTATATGCTGGGCCCAAGAATATCTTGGAGCCACCTGAGGCCTGCAGTAATATATTAGGCACTTCCAGAACAAAACCTCTTGTATCCACCAGGACCTGGATTGTCATGTTATACTAGTGGAATCAGGTGAGATATCCAGAGCCCACTATTGATCTAGTTTTTTTCCGATGAATTCCAGTTAGTACAGCTCAAGGATGTTGGCAAGGTACTTGGACAGATTTGTGCAACAACATCCATACTGGATCCTTGCTCCTCTTGGCTTATAAAAGCCAGTAGGGAGGGGACTGCCAGCAGGGTCAGGGATATGATTAATGCTTCTATATGAGAAGGAATGATCTCTGGTTCCCTGAAACCAAGTGGTGGTGAGACCACTCTTGAGGAAACCTTCCCTGGTGGCAAACATCCCCTTCTTGGTTCTGTATGATGACCTTGGAGGAGAAAGACAGGGCGAGTGTGGCGTTGTTGGTTCCTACTTGGATTTTAGGATTCAGAAAGTGGTGCTTAGGGGATATTGTTCTGCCACTTGGATCCTCCACTATGGGTTCCTCAGGGGTCAGTTTGTCCCCCATGTTATTTAAATCTACATAAAACCACTGAGTGAGGTCAGCTGGAGTTTTGGAATGTGTTGTCATCAATATGCTGATGGCATGCAGCTCTTTCTCTCCTTTGCATGTTCAGCAGGTGAGGCTGTAGATGTGCTGAACTGTGCCTGGCTGTGATAACAGATTGGATGAGGGTGAACAAACTGAAGCTCAATCCAGACAATACTGAGATGCTGTTGCTGGGTGGTTCTTCTTACCAGATGGAGAAAATCCAACCTGTTCTAGATGGGGTTGCACTCCCCTTGAAGGAGCAAGTTTGTAACTTGTGGGTGCTCCTTGAGGTTCAAGTGGCTTCATTGACTTGGAATGCCTTCTACCAGCTTCAGCTGGTAGTTCAGCTATGCCCCTACCTGGATAGAGATAGCCTGCTGTCAGTGATCTCTGCTCCCATAATCTCTAAGCTAGATTACTGCAATGTAGTCTACATGGAGCTACTCTTGAAGACTGTTTGTAAGCTGCAGCTTGTCCAAAATGTGGCAGCCAGACTAACAAAGGGATCAGATGGTCTGATCACATAACACCATAACTGCCAAGAGAGAGTCAACTGTTGAGTGGAATAGAAATTGAATGAATGAATGAATAAATGTGTTCTTTTATCTCTCTTGATGAGCTTTTCATTCAGGTTGACTGTGTGAAAGTCAATGCAGAAATACGTCCTCCTTGTGAGCTGTTGAAAAGCATAGGGTGGAGGTGTGTCTTCAGATTTTCTTAATAATTACTTGAAAATATTATTTGGGTACGGCATGTCTATGGCTTTGTTTTCCAGCACTGGAGGCGATCAGTCATGGCAGGTGATGCAATCATGGTGATGCGAGGGTTGGCGAAGCTCAGCAAGGCAGTCGTAGAAACACAAGCAGGACAACTCCGGCAAGTAGTGCTTGGTGCTGATGCAGTAACTGCAGTCAGGGGCTTTCAAGCAGCTGCTGAGGAACAGTTAAGCGCTGCCATGGGGAAAATGCAGGTAAGAAAATGTTTCTGTTTCTTCTTCCATCACATGAAATAAGTACTCCCAGTTCATTGTATGTAAAAGACATTGAAGTCTGTAATCCTATGCATGCTGACATGGAAATAAGCCCACAGGTTTCCTATAAAACTCGGTAGAAATTGCTCCTGGTAAACATGCCCAGGATTGCAATGCAGAACTTTCAACACATATAGTGCAATCCCATGCATTTTAAATCCTGATCACTGGGTATGGGAGTGAAGGCTGAACAATGGTGAAAGCTGACAGGAAAAAAATTGGTGGGCTTGACATATGGTGCTGAAGGACAGCTTTGCGAATACCCTGGACCACCATAAAGAAAAACCAGTGGTTCCTGGATCAAATCAAGACAGGACTTTCCCAGAATGTCAATACTGCAGCTGTTGCATTGTGGTTATATAATGAAAAGACAAGACTCACTGGAGAAGGCAATCATGTTAGGGAAAGTCAAAGGCAGAAGAAGAGGAAGGTCAAGTATGATATGACTTAATTTCATAAAGAAAGCTGCAGCCCTGAGTTTTCAAGAACTGAGCAGGGCTGTCAAGGATAGGACATTTGTGAGCTCACTCATTCATAGGTCAACGTAAGTTGGAAATGACATGATGGCATGTAGTACAGTAACAAGTCACTCTGCATTCATTAAGGCTTTTTCTCCAACTAAGTCTGTCAAGGACTGAAGCCAAAATGTGGTAATGGACAGGCTATGTTATATTTGCAACACCTATATATTCTAGAAGGTCAAAATTTCTGAAGATGCCCTATTTAAAGATTTGTAAACTCCCTTGTAATACTGACTCATGTGAAATGAAAGAAGTCCATGTGATCCAGTTGTTTGTTTTACTTACCTACTAAATGTACAAGTGTTCTTCAAAAAGTTTCCACACTTTTTAAAACTCTATTTATTAAATAAATTCTATTTATTAAGAATTTCAAAAATAAATTACATCACTTTTCTACACAGTCACCTTCCTTTGTGATGCATTTTCCCCGGCATTGTACCAGCTTTTAAATGCCATCAGCAATATATAAAATATATAATATAAAAGTGTGGAAACTTTTTGAAGACCACTCATATATTTATCAGCTCAATGCCACTGACATATTAAAAAAAGACAAGAAAAACCATTCAAATTATGAATATTTCCAAAAACACTTCTCGAAGTAAAGATAACAAGTTCAGCAAAGAGTTTCTGAAATTAAGTGTTTTCATTAATCTTCTAATATCTGCAAGAGGGTAGGCTTGGGGCACTTGGGAAGGGAATTCTGACAAGGTGGTGCCACCAAGGACTGCCTTGGAAAGGAATATGATCCAAAGATTGGTGTGATTGTGTGGAGAAATACCCGCATTCTATAAATCTTGAAGAAAGCCTATTGTACAAAATGCATTGGATTGGATCCTTTTTATACAAATATTGCAACAATATTATACAATTTTTTAGCTAACTGTAAAACAACCTTTTGACTTGCAATATAGTCTGACCAAACTATAACCCTGCCCAAGAAGGGCTGACAGATTTTAGGCTTCTGGGATCACCCCTGTGGTCTACCAGCTAGAACCAGGTGCAAATTATTCATTCCAAAATACAGGTATGCATTAAGAGTTAAGGCAGGGGACATATCTGAGCATTTGCTCAGCCCTCAGTGACAGAACCAGACTTGCTGATAGGTAATGTGTGGGACAGACTTCAGCATCTTGTCTTATCACATATTGTTTGTCTTTAACGATTCATTAGAGAAGAGAGCAGTTACATTCCCCCATACACACAATGTCTGCCCAAAATTCAGTAGCATGTGTGTTTCCTACTGGAAGCAAGAGGAGGAGAGTTTTCCAGTAAATTACTCTGTATCCATTGTTCCTGCTGCCAACTTCTGGTACTTTCAGATTTTTCTGGTGATGTTTTTATTAATGTTGGAAGAGAAGTGCTTCCATTATGTAACTCTATGGCAGTCTGGTAATATCAACCAACAGGCATTTTCTTCCCTGCAGTGCTGAAAATTACAGTGGACCTGACTCTGTAATAGGAAGGGCTAGTACTATCTTTGCTTCCTCCAAATGGGGAAAACAATTAGCATTCTGGAAATGTGTTAGTGGGACCCTGAAGTTATTACAGTGTAAAATCTGGATACCAGCTTAATGGGACTATCTCGCCTTTCATTTTACTTTTAAACAACACATCTAGACATCATATTTACAGAGCAAAAGCTGAAAAATCAAGTTGAAACTGGACAGAGTCTCTCCTACTCATGGGATGGGCTAGTTGTTCCCCTTATAGCTCTGTTGCACTCTGGATCACGTCGATCCTTTCTCACTGTTCACTGATAAATTATGTTGTGTTCTGCAAAGTCTCAGATACAGTTGCATCTTACTGTAGGATCAAACACTTCACAAAATTATCTGTATTTATTAAAAGGCATAAGGCTCACATAGCAGGGTGAAACAGCTTACTTCAGGCAGTGCTGTCAGGGCCTTGGTGCAGATTTACAAAGGCAGGGCACAGCAATACATTCTCTGCCTTTTGGGCTTTGTTCTAGGCAACAAAATGTCTTGGAGCAGCAGTGGGTAGGCAGCGTATTTGTACTTGTATTGATTTGCAAGTCTTTGCCTTTTCAGGGTATCTGAGAGCACTCAAAACTATATTTTAGCATGGAAATCACTTTCAATGTTTTATTTGCAGGAACTAGGAAAACAACAGGAAAACTTGAATGATATTGGTGAGGACTTTGGAAGAGAGTACAACTTCTCAGAATCAGAGTTGGGAGGTGCTGCACAGGACTTCTCTCCTCCTCAAGACCAGCCTCACAGACATAGTGATGCAGAGGGCCCATCTCACTCTTACGTTGCTAAAGGACCTTTTCCAAATGTTGTTGGGAGTGGAGACTTCAGTTCAAGTCAGAATCCCATCTTGTCCAAATCGAATGCAAAGCTTTTTGGAGGCTTTAGGGACCCTGGGAATCTTATTGTTCCTGCATATGGGCAAAATCGGGCATTTCACCAAGACCATTCCTCTATTGGTGGACTAACAGCTGAAGATATTGACAAAGCCAGGCAAGCTAAAGCGGATCCACAGCAGAAACCACACAAGCAGATGGTATGTAGACTGATTACCAATATTGAAGGATTAGACATTTCTTTCCTTTGTTCCAGTTTCTTTGTCCAGCTGCTCTATAACTTTTTGATGTCAGGATAGTACTGGGGACAGTGTAGCTTTCCCTTTAAGTTTGTCTGATCTTTGCTGCCTGTCCATAGCTCCACTTGTAGTATGGGAAATGTGCAAAAAAGGAGGGGGCAAACATCACTTATTTGGGGTCTGCCGTTACTGCAAGAAACAAAACTACACAATGTTGGCTTAGTTCCACAGTAATATGATTGATACAGCATTTTTAATAAGCAATCTCACCTGGAAACTCACCTCATGGGTTCTCCCACAGTAGAAGCATCCAGGATGCTAATAAACAGCCTTCTAAGAGGGATGGTTTAATTTGAACTCCTGCACTTAGCAGGAGGCTGGAGCCGATGACCTTCTTGGTCCCTTCCAACTGTGCTGTTCTATTATTTTTAATATTTCACAGCAACCTTGTATATTCAGTTATACTTACACTCCCATTTTATAGGTGGCACACTGTTCAATTTACTCAAAGCAAAAGCCCCTTTATTTATTTATTTATTTAAATTATTTCTATGCCACCCCCATTGCAACAAAGCCTTGGGGCGGCTCACAACAAAAACCAAAACATACAAAATTATACAAAAATTATATACTGAAAATATTAAAACTCGGTGCATCTTGGCTTAAACTTTTTAAAAAAATCCTACATAATAAATTAACACTTAAAATAAGTTTTAAATAAAAACTGTTTACCTGATAGTTCTTTTAGCAAGATCTCAGCCTGGTATATATCTTGGACTCTTGAACTTTTTAAATTTTTATTATAAGTGTTTACATTGCAAGCAATGAATAAATACAGTATGCTTTACCATACAGAACAATTTATAAAATATACCAATTACTAAATATATCAATAAATATTAAATGTTGTGCTTACTTCGATATATAGCCTTTCCATAAAACAAATTGGACACCATGGGTATTGATTTCCTCTGTTTTGATAGCTAGTAAAAGAAGGTTGTCTAAACCTCAAACAATCCCTATTGTCTGGGTTGATATGACATGACAAGCCATGGCAAGCTAGGTGCCCGTGAAAGTGGCGCTTTCAAGTATGTGATACAGCACAGCAGCCCCTGCAGGTAAAATAAATCAGCTCTTGTGACATGCATAGAGGCCCACTGGAATTTTTTCTGCCATATTGCCTGGTCTATGGAATGCCCTTCCTGAACAATTCCATTTGACTGTCCTTCTCTTCATTTTTCAAGGAGCAGATTTGGCTTTTACAGCAAGCCATGAGGCTTCTTCCTGGTTGATGTTGTGATTTGGTGGTAGTGGTAGGGGGCTACTCAAACTGATTTTAGGATCATGATTATCTTATTTTAGTATTAATAATGTTTTCATTGTTTTTATTGTTGCTTTTATTTTATTGCTTAATCATTTGAAGTCTATTGGACTAAAAGGCAAGCTAGGGGGAGGGTTTTTAAAAGGATAAGTAACATAGCATTTATTTAGATTTGTTGTTCTAAGCAAGAGCTGTTTGGATGGATGCCTCTTTATATTAGGGAAGGCAGGCTAACAACTGTCTGTTCATTTAAAGAGGTTCCAGTGTATCCCTAGAAATAGACCTGTTCTTTTTAATGTTTAACAGGTGTTCACCTTCCCTTGGCTGGATACTTGATATTCTGCTAAATGCTTGAGATAGTTAAGAAGCTATGCTTGTTGTTTTTGTTCTTGTCTTTCAAGCTGAATCCAGAACAGGTGCAGCGCAGGTTTGCTTGACATTCTCTCCAGACTGCATGCTCTCTCAGACAATTCTGTCTGCTGCACATTGGGTAATCCTTTAAAGCAGAAACATAGCTTTGAAAGTACCCCAATTGACAGACCTATTGATCCACTGAACCAAAGAAGCATTTTTCTGGTCAGGGAGAGAGAAGTATTCTATCCTACTGTAATATATCATGTTTGCTTGCATCATTGTTTTTTATTGAATTGGATCCAGAACTTCTCTAGTGAATTCCACCAACAAGATGCTTATGCTAGAGGAAGTGTGGTGGGGAAAGGTGATTGCTGCCAGTTCATCCTTTCCTTTCTAGACTTCTGAAAAACTGTTTGGGAGGAGTGAGGAGTCTTCCAGAAGATTTTCAGAAGTATTGGGGACTGCTTGAGAGAACTGGGAATTAACAAAAAAGTTCTCCTTTCTTCCTGCCTTCAGTGGGAGGCTTCATTAAATAGACACAGTGGTCTGGTTCACATAATAACACTAATTCATGGTTTGTATAATGCATGATTAGCTCATTGTTTGTTGCCCTACCCGGGGTTTGTCTGACAGACAATTGAACAGGTTTGTTCTGTCAGTGGATTATTAATTTCTTACCATCCTCACAAACTCCCTTCCTGTATCCCAGGAGCTTCAGTACAGCATGTAATGTGCCTTTTTTTTAACCTGCCACCTCTACAGCCTTGTAGAACAAACCATGAATAATGCACAATTCTGAGTTTGCATATAATGACATTTCATGATTTAAACAACCCAGAATTCAACCCCATGGGCTTTCTGTTTTGGATGATCCCCCTTGCAGCTGGTCCAGGAAAAACTATACCAGCTCTTTATCCATGATCAGGAAGGCAATCTGCAAGAGTGAGTAAAGGGGACATTCAGGGGATGGACAGGGGAGGAGACTAGGCCCCAAAATATGATATTCCAGCTTCCCCCACTCTCATCCATCTCAGCTAAATGGCCAAGAATGACTGTCTAGCTGAAATGCAGACTAGAAAATGAGCAGGGTAGAAATCACCTCCACTGTTCCTTCAGCTCTGTGCTAGATGTTTATAAGCCTCCCTGTTTGGGGAGATTATGAGTGTCAAGGGTGCAATCCACTGGACTTTGCCTTAACTTTACTTTCATATTTGCAGAAGGGAATATTTTATTGTATGTCGTATGCTGAACATAATATGAACAAGTTTCTCAACTTTTCCTGCATGTGTTCATACACAATTTGCATATGTGTAAATACATAATGTTTCATAGAATGGCTATTGAATGCTTTCTGTCCCAGTGCTGTTCTGAAAATAAACAAGATGATGACTTGCTTTGGATGTAACAATAAGTTGGAACAACTAAACTGGGAACTGTGGTTTCCGTGGTTTGAGGTTGGCTTGCTGTTGTGTGGTCTGTCCCCCTGTGATAGAGTACTTGCTTTGAATACAGAAGCTCAATCTCTGGCATCTCAAGGAATGTTTAGGAAAGAATCCTGCCTGAAGCCCCAGATTGCTGCTGCCCATCAATGTCAACAGTACTGGACTAGATGGACCAGTGGTTCTGCTTTGGCAAGGGCGGGGGTCGGCAACCTGCGCTCCAGAGCCGCAAGTGGCTCTTGAATGCCTCTGCTACGGCTCCATCGCTCGTGTCACAGCCACCAATCCGCGGCCCGTGCCGGCACAGCGGCGCAGCCGACACAGCGCTTGGATACATCGAAGAAAAGTTTCTGACGAAAACCAAACGTTTAATGATACGTGGGTAGAGTCATTTGCTTTTACTGCTGACGAACTTATGGGGTTTACTGTTTAATGCATGCAGCCCTTTAGAACTGACTTTGCCTCTTCAGGAAGCTGTTCTCCTATTCAAAATATATGAAAGGAGTCCTACTAGTTTACAATGTAAGATTAAAAATAACAGTTTTTAGTGACTGAACAAGAGCTGCAGCTAAATCATAATGAAGATATACATAGCATTAAGGTAAAAAATGATATATGCGGTGTTATCTTCATTTTAGATGTCAAAAGGGTTTTGTGACTTCCGGTGTTTTCTTTTGTGTGGGAAACGGGTCCAAATGGCTCTTTGAGTGTTAAAGGTTGCCGAACCCTGGTCTAGGGAGAGCCAAACCAGAGATCTCAGTTCAAACCACAGATGAAAGGTTCATCGTTTAGTTAGCATCCCCTGCTTGCAGAAAGAGCCTTGTGAGAGTGATGGGACAGCATCCAAGCACTAAAAGAATATAAGAAATGGAAGAAAAGCCATAATGGATCAAACCAGTGATCCATCTAGTTCATCTAAACTAGCTGCCCGCAGGATCCCTCAAGCAGGATGCATACAAGAACTACCTTCTGACCAAACTTCCTAGCAGCCCATGATTACAAGCTTTTAGTGAGGCCCTGAAAAATTGCCTGTAATCTGGACTTTTTCCAAGTATGTTTCATTACACTGCAATTAGTTTAGTTGCAATTTGGGTTTTAGTGCTGTTTAGGCTGGGTGTCATATGGCTTATAGAGTTTATTAATTTATGCTTTTTATCATTGTATGGAAGTCTATCATGCAATTCCCCTTTGAAAGTTTTTTCTTTTAGAGGCATCCAAGACATTTTAGAATAAAGTAGATACATTTACCTATCAGAGGAAGAGGAATACATTAAACCTTGCTTTCTTCAGGATTTAAGCAATACCTTGCTTTCAAGGTCTAATTGTGAGGGTTCCCAAAATCAGGAGAAGAAGGACACTTGATGGTGTTTTAAGCTGCTAATCTATTTTGAGATGAAGATTCTTCAGGACTGGACCATATTTTTGCTAGGGCTTTAGATGGGGAAGTTTAAGTCAACTGCATGACTTTTCTTGGTTATGGTGGTGTTTCCATTTATCCAGAGTTCCTACTCTTTGTTCTCATGACTGCAACTCCCACTAATTTTGTTAGAGTAGAGCACTTAAAGGTCATGAACCTTAAATGTATAGCTTCTGCTTTACTGTTGGAATCCCTTTGCTCTTGCCTGCTATGTGTTCCTGGCTTATGCAGCTTATCCAAGAACAAAATACATATTACATATATGTGGTACCTTCCCCCCCATTATGGTATGCTTCCCCCCATTATGGTATAATCTTCCCACTGAGCCTCACCTGGTACCAGTTTCTGCCATCTTTTCAGCACAGAGTTAAGACTGTCCCCTGCTTCCACAAATTTAGTGGTACATGAAGGGACATAGCTGTTTCAATGGATCTAGTTTTTATTGAAATTCTTTTAGCTGTTTGTACTATTACAAATTTTGTATATGGACATTTTATGCTGTGTTTTATTGCATTTGTGTTTAGTATTTTGTGAGCTGTTGAGAGGACTTCAGCTATTGGGTGGTATACAAAAAAATGTGTAAACAATTATGTGTTAGTCAAGGTGATGCCAAATGCACATGTAAAAGCCATTAAGGTGAGTTCCGCAGTTATGCTATAGTAATCTAATAGAGTAGCTTCATGTTTGTTTAAAGGACTTTTGTGGAGAAAATGCTGAGGAGGAAACCAACAGTGTGTCCTGTAACTTCTCCAGTATGCTATTTGTAAATGTTACAAAGTTTGATTTCTTAGTGGATTCATAATGAGACCATCAGCCATACTAATTTTCTTCTTAAATCCCTGTAGCTCAGTGAACGTGCCCGAGAGCGGAAGGTGCCTGTTACTCGAATTGGGAGACTTGCCAACTTTGGAGGTGAGTGTATTTGAATTGTCAGAGCAAATATCAGTGTGAAGACTGATGCTTCCAAAAGTATTAAAAGCTACCTAGAGTCCTACCTAGACTCAATTAGTTTTTTGTGAACTGCACCATCCATCCCAGTTGATGTGCACAGAAGTGCAAGCTTTCTGATCAGTTTATTACAACTATTGAAACTAAATGTCTGAACTGATCTTGCTAAGCAACATTTTCTCTAAAGTCCAGTTTTGACTGAGCCTCTGAGTCAAGATAAATTGGTGCACATATATCATTCATTGATCTGGATGGATTTCAGAGCTGAATTGATCTAGGGTATTTGGTGACTTTATGAAGTTTATTTATTGTATTTATTAAATGTCTACTCCTCCCATTAGCCAAGATGACTTTCTGGGCAGCTTACAGAATATAATAATTGAGAAGATGAGCTTTGAACTTTGACCTGCTTTTAAATTTACCTCCTGAGTACTAGAGCTCAGTGACAGCCATCTTCTTGGCAAATGACTACATAAAATCTTTGTATACACCCATGGCCCACCCATGGCTTCTGCATGTGTCCTGTGACATAGGCATTATTAGAAGAGTGATAGAGTTTCCTTCTTAGGCTCCTCTTTAACACCAATCATCTAGGAAAAGCGGTGGAGCAGGGAGAAAAGCTGCTGAGATTGAAACTCCCATATGTATTCTGCTTCCACATGGTTAGCTTTCATGATTAGCATCATGATTTTGCTAGCTACAGTTCTCACCCTGACTGAACACCATTGCAGTATAGGGTTGCTAGGATATACATTAAATTAATATACATTAAAGCAGAAAGTCAGTCTCTGGCATCTCAAGGAAGGATTAGGTGCCCTCCAGATGTTTTAGACTGCAAGTCCCAGCAGTTCTGACCGGTGACTGTGCTGGATGGAACTGATAGGAGTTGTGGTCAAAAACACTTAGAGGGTACAAGGGTGATGTAGACTGAGCTAGAAGGTTACCGACCTTTTTCTCTGTATTATTTTTAGTCTGTCAGAGAGCTGTATTTCAGTACAGACATGAGATGCATTTCAAAGAGGATAGAGCAGGATGCTCATTTAAAACCGTGCAAGGTCTCAGATAAGAAAGTATCCAAGCCAAAATCTGGAAACATTTGAAATATAATCTGTAAAGAAGAGGGGCCTTTTCTGTGGTGGTGCCTGGTTGTGGAATATGTTTCTGTGACAGGCTACCCTAGCTACCTACATTGTGCTATTTTCAGGCCCAAGTAAAAACCTCTTGTTTATCCAGGCATTTTAGTCTATCAGTGTCTGTTGTTTTAAATCTCCTACTATATTCTAAATCTGTGCACTTAGACTTTTGTTTGGGTTTTTTAATTTTTATTTTATACTGTATTTTTAAACTTTTAAACATTTTATACTGTGTTCTGTCATGTTGTAAGTTATGGTTTCAGTCATTATTAAAAAGCTAGAGAGCTTTGACTGTGGGACAGTATGGCAATGCAATAAATAATTTGAATTATATTTAATATGTTAAATTTATGTAATAACATATTAGATAAATTTTACAGGGTGTGCAATCCTAATGTGCCCTGTTTCTTTGTAGAGCTGGCAGTAGGGGCTACAAAACTCCCCATGGGGGCGGGGGGACACACGTGGGCTGTGGGATGTCAACCCTATGTTCTAAACTAAGCGATTTTTTGTTACTAATTTGTATCCTGACTTTCCAACAATAACTCTCAAGGCAAGTAACAATACAAATGCAATAGGATAACAATAAACAATGGCTTTAATTAAATAATACTGCAGATTTTAACTGGAGCTGGGTGCTAGAAAGTAGTAAGTTAAGGAAGACATTTTTGATTGAACTTCTGACCAGTTTTCATCTATTAACTTAACATGGTCTCCCACTCCCCATTCTGACACATACAGTTTTTGGCAGAGCAATTCTGACCCCAAGTTCCTTTGGCTCACAAAGGTTGAGATAGAGTGGACCACTCGGTTTGCTGGTAGAAAATTGTTTTGGCAAAAGTGATTACTACCAGAGGCCCAAATTATATCTGCACTGAGCTCTGCAGTTCTAAATCTACCACTGACTTTTTTCCAACAGTAGGCCCTGAAATCTGCCATGCTAAAAATCTTCTTGAGCCTTTTTCCTACCTCCTTTTTGGTTGGCATCAGCTGAAAGGGCTTTGGAGGTGGCAGCTGTTTTGCTGTTCTACTCTCTGAACACATAAGATTGCTTTTGTAATTACCTGAGTTTCCTTCAGTTATATTTTAACTCATATGGCCTGCATTTTGTACTCACGACACAAAATGCGGCCAAAGATCATAACAGACCCTTAAGAATAAATAAAGCACTTAAAATTACAGTGCTGCATGTTGGGGTGAACCTACTTGGCATCACCTCACCCTTGTTTGTGTATTGGGGTATATACTTTAGATCAGAAAGTAGATTTCCAGATGGTCTGGAGATCTGTGTCAGCTCCCAGTATTCCTGATGATTAGCAGTGCTGGTAGGAGCTTTAGAGAGGAAAAGTTCAAAACGTCTGGAGATCCAGATTCTACCCACTCTTGCTTTAGATAATGTTTTGGGGATTTGTGTGGGAATACTCTTTTGTTTTTATCTGTTTGCATGCTTAGTACTCTTCTGTATATGTGGGTGGCACATTTGGTTTACAGAAGGTGTGATTAGGTCTGAGAGGTCTCCTGTACGATTTAAGATTTTCATAAAGAGGGGAAATTATGCCAGGGTCACTGAACTGCAATAAGGAAAACCATCTGTAGGTTGTAGCTTCTTCTTTTATAGCTTCTTATACTTCAGCTGCAGAACATCTCCTGTCCTGCGGGCTGAATTCCTTTTCTGGAGAGCTTGCAAGGGCTGCATTCCAGCAGTGCCACAAACAAAGGAGTCAGGATCAAACAACACGGACATAAGTACTGTTTAGTTTGAGGGTCTTACTGTCAGTAATGAAGGGTTGGGCCCAGGGTGTGTGTGTGAATTTCTGCCTTCTTGGAAGCCAGGAAGCCATAATTAGTGGTTGGGGTAAAAGGGTGGAGGCAGGAAAAGGGAGCATGGCTTTCTAGGGAAAGCTGGTGGGCTGCATTTGGACCCAGGCTTAAGGTTTTGCACCCCTGTCTTATGCAATTCTTAAAAGAACTATTTCTATCTTGGAGTTTGGCCTTGGTTTCCAACTGTCTTTGGGTTTCCCTACCTTTCTTGAAAATAATAGTATCTTGGTCCCTTGTAGCAGGGTGGAGGATTGTCGTCTGCTTTCTGTAGAAGAGCAGTATGCTGCATAGTTAAGAGATGCCTCTGATGTTGTCTTATCTTCCCTATTTATAGCTAGAGCTGGCTCCTGTCCTTAGTATTCATTTCTCTAAGATGAGAACTGCCTCTATATGCCTTTTAAACATTTTTGTTTGTATAGCAAAGTGGTTGGGAACTTAGCTTCCACTGGGCAAGTTACACAGGACTGTGTAGTGTAGTGTACATTATCCTTTGAAGCAGAGGCAAAACCACAGAGCAAAGTAAACATTTCCCTGAGCCAATAAGAGGAACAATTGTATGAACGCCAGTCTCTCTCCCCCCCCCCCCAATCCAATGCCAGTGCACGTGTGTGCCAACATGGTCTTGAAATGCAGCTGAGAAAAGTGGCTAAGAAAGTTAGTTGGGTGAGACCATAGCTCAGTTGGTAGAGCACATGCTTTGCATGCAAATCTCAGGTTCAGTTCCCTGCATCCCCAGCTGGGAAAGAATCTTGGCTGAAGGCTTGGCTGAAACCCTGGAATACTGCTGACAGTCAGTGTTGACAGTATTGGCTAGATGAACTCATAACAAGGCACCTTGTTACGTTCTTAAAACATTTAATCATAATAGATAACAGTAACTTTTATTTGTATTTAGGACTTTTGGAATACTCCTCTTACTTGAACATTTGAACTAATACCAATGTCTGTGAGATATTGTTGGTATTTGCTTTTGACAATATTTGCTTTTGCTATGGCTCCCTTAGCTCAGGCAAATCTCTGAAAATACTAAAGACTAACTAAACCCACTTTGTGAAAGGCAGCAGCTGTTGAATGAATGTTTTGAGAATTGTGCTTATCAAAAAATGAGCTGTGTGCCTGTCCATCTCTTCTTGCATGAGGAATATAAAGCTTTTCCTCAGAGTGCAGGTGAGAGATAGGTAGTCTGGAACTCTGCATCTTTTGTACTGCCTTTTTATGAACCACAGTCATTGACCTTTTTGGTTATGGTGTAAAGGGATTTAGTCCAAAACATGTGGCAACATGACCCCCACCCCTACTCTGGGTTGGACCATCTTTACTAGTTTTATAGCCCTTGGTGCTTCTGAAAGGGTAGTATTGTTGTATGACATTATATGTATGTTCCAAGAAAAGCAGCATGGTTGATCCAGAAAATGACCTTATTTTTCTGGAGTCAGATGCTGTCAATACAGAAAATCTTCAAGGATTCAGGAATTCTGGTCCTGTTATGGGTTTCCCCCACCCACAGGCTGTCCATATTAAATGTAGTTGTAATCCCATTCCTTTGTGTGCTTTGATATGTGCTGTCTCCTTTGAAAATAAGAAGATATATCTCCTGCAAAACCAGAATAAGATTTTTTTAACACCTAATAGTCTTATTTTTTTCTTAATATGCTACAATATTGAGGGTTTTAAGGGTGGTTTATGGAATTAGATAAATTTGTTGCTTCATATCTCAAGTTACAAGTGTCTTTACAGACCTTTAGCAAAACTTTCTTATTGAAATTTATTAGGAAAAACCATCAACTGCTGCTTTTGAGTTGAGGAGGTATAACAAACTGGTTGCCTTCCAGTTTTTTTGGACAGCAACTTCCATGATCTCCAATCAGCAAGGCCATGCTTGCTTTGCAAATCAGAAGTGGAAACCATGGTTTGTTCCTGGTTTTTATCCTGTATTGCATGGGAATGCAAAACACATTTTGCTGGTTCAGGCAAATAGGAAACTGTGTTTTGCCTCTAATCAAGAATAAATGAGGCAGTCAATATATATTAGAGAAGGGTGAAAGACATCTGCAAGCCTAACACTTTTCAGATGCTCATACTATGGTTTTGCATTATGTCTGTGCCTTACATATAATTTCTTATTTGTAATCTGGGTTTTATTATAGCCAAAGCTTTGCAACTTCATCTTGCAACCCAGGCCTAAGCAGTCCAGTAGAGGAACAAAATCCATTTAAATCAGTGAGATTTACTTGACTCTGTGCATGTGCAGTTATTCTGTTAAAGTACAGTATGTGATGTGGGGGTGGGTAGGAGTCATTTCACCTTCCTGAGGATCTCTGCTTCTGTTAAAAGTAATATGGCTCTTTACTCTTTTCAAACAAACAAACAAACGAACAAAAAACCACCACCAGTAGATGGGCCCTTATTTACTCTGTACGTGAAAAAGTTTATGTATTATTGCATTGCTTATAAATAAAAGCTTGAAGTCAGGTTCATTTTGGAAAAGCAAAAGCAAACCAACAAAATTAATGGATGCTCAAATGTTTTGAAAAGCATTGTTTACCAGTGTTTCAGACCCACAATTACAACAGCAGTCATAGTCACACTCTAAAGATGTAATGAGAGTCATCAAAAGTGTATAAAAAAACTGGATAGGTAGCACACACAAAACTTTTTACATTATACTAGATGTTAATATAAGGGGAACACTGTCTTCCCTGTAACTATTGAATGAGGAGAAAACTGTAATAACCTGTGGCCAAATTCTGTAAGCTGTTGGTAACCTCATGGTTTAAGTTTTATACTGCTCAGCCTGCTGTCCTTGAAATGTTTTGGAGTTCAACTCCCATCAGTTCCAGTCAGCATAGTTAATTATCAGGAATGCTGGGAACTGTAGTTCAAAACAGCAGGAGGTTACCAGGTCAGGGAAGGCTGCTTTAGTCCATTGCAGGTATAACATGTGCTTCACTGTGCTTAAGAGTTCTGGTGTGCCCTACAGGCTTCTACCTTCGCTCAGAGGAAGAAACTTAAATATAACTTTATAATGTAGTTAATTCAAGTGGGAAGAGAGGGTGGAATTTGGGTGATTAAGAGATTAACCATAGTAAAGAAAGAGATCAGGACATTATAAGCTTAAATATTATCAGACCACAAATGTTTCAGGTTTCATTCATGCACAATATAGGGTACTGTTGATAATTGCTTCTCTTTTTGCTCCCTTTAGAAGACTTTCCAATGCATTTATTTGCTTCTGGCTGATTTTGTTAGAGCAAACATTGTACATTGTGTACCCTTGTATACACTTGTATACATTGCAAAATCCAGCTTTTCTTGGCACAGAATTTGGGCTGTCTGGGTGCCTTTAATTACATTTATTTGTTTCCTTGCCTAACTCAGCATTGCTGTTGCCTGTGTTTTGAAGCAAGGGGTACATACAGTCTCCTCAGCTGGATGGAATCTACACAGGATGAGTCATGTAGCAGGAAAGATAAGACTGCTAGAAGCCTGTGGAGAGGGCAGGCTTATTATTGTTGGCTTATTTGGGACTGAGACTGCTTGTGTTTGTGCTCGTGTGTCTGTCTCTCAAGGTTGTAGAAGAACTCCAACTATAGGATTCTTAAGTATGACCAATATTATGTGGTTTGAAATCATCATTTGATTTGTTACTGCATATAAATTCATAAGCTAAACCTTTTAGGAAATACCTACTAATTCAGACTAGAGGTTTGTCTTTCATTTCATACTTGTCTTTCATGCTGTACTTTGTATACTAATTTTTCTGCATTCCCTGGATATGTTTTCCATTGACGGGAAAAGAGCTGCTTGGAAATAGTTAAATACAGAAACATGCCTTTTCCTTTTTAATATCCAGGCTTGGTTATCTATCTATCTATCTATCTTGATAAATGCCAATTTTGAATAATAGCACCATTTAGTGAAAAAGCTGCCTAGGAATCTTTAGGATGAAGTTTTCAACTTAATTGTAAAAAAGTAATCAGGCTTTGCTATGCTAATATAAGATGCATTGAAATCTAGCTGGCTGAACTGGTACCAGAGTTCAAATCTGCCACCAAAAGAAAATGGCTTCTATAATGGTATACGTAGCACAGAGCAGTACCTCAGCAAACCACTAAAACCAAGGGGTTGTCTGAAAATAGTGACATGTAGCATGTGGTTTGATCTGGGACCCCTAACTGTGTAAATGTCTGATGTGCAAAAAACCTGAAGGCTTGGACACAATTCACAGGATAGTGCTTTGCTACTGTTTCAAAAGTAGCACCTCTAGATATCTTTTGCAAACACATTTTTTTTTCAAAGGTGAAAGTTTTTCTTGAAGGTGAATGGCTGTATCAAAATAAGTTGACATATAAACAGTTCTGAAACACTGAAGCTAAGAAATCCTTCCTGGTTAATCTTTACAAAGCCTGCCATTGTAAGTAAGATAGCATTTGCCTATCCGAATGTTGACTGTTTTGATTCTGTGCAGGCTGATTTGTGTGATTATTAAGGTGGAGTTATGCAAAGCTGGGAAGAGTACATATTGTACAAGCCTAAACCTTATCAGGAGTGGGGAAAAGAGGTCATGGCAGATGTATGAGTTGTACAAGAACCTATTAACTTTATTAAATTCTTGACTTGTTTTCATCATGTTCCTCTGCTCAATGTTCTTCACAGGGATCAATATAATCACAAAAACCATATGACATGATCAATAAAAAGTACAGTAAAAGCAATAATTTATAATCAGTACTTAAAATAAAGCAAAGGCCAGCCTAGCAAGAACAAGAGTCAAAATGTTATACATTAAACTGACAAAAGGAAGGTTTCTACTCTTAAAGGTAGCCCATAAATAATATAAATACCCCCCTCCCCATATAATTAGTTGTTGTATGCACAAACCAGTTAAATGTTTTCATTTGGCAAATGATACATAGCAAGAGTTCAGTTAGGATGACTTTCCAAAGTTGTTGCATTGCTTTCTCTACCATGTTTCCTGAATTTTCTAAGATAACAGCAAGAACCATTCCTAGGCATTCTTGAAGTTGAACTGGTCCTGAACCATTTAAGATTTCAAAGGCTAGAGTGAACATTTCAAATAGAGCCTAGAAACATATAGGAAGCCAATGAAATTGACTTGGAATATCACTGCAGGTGATACTGAGAAGATATGGTAGTGGAGTAAGATTTCTTCACTATCTCTCCTACAAAAAGTAGGGCTGAACTTCAGGTTTACCCTGTATTTGGTCAGATTTGGCTTGACTTGCCTGCATTTTTGGGCTCTAATTGTCTTGCCTTTCATTCCATTGTCCTTATGTCTTCCACAGTCCTTTCCCCCTCCCCATTTTAGCCCTTTACCCCTCCCCCTATTGCATGTAGCTATATGCAATATAGCTTTGCTTATGGCATGAAGAGCAGGTTAGAAATCCCAGCAACCTGTTAGATTTGATTTCTGGCATCCTTGCTGACTGCTAGTAAAGTGAGGATTGTTTAGCTGGTTATTATCTTTTGATAGCATTTGACATATCCCCACTCAAGACATGAATGCAGAATGTAAAGCTGTATTTTTGAAGTTAACAGTTAGGTTGCATGTCAAATGAATAATTAATATTTTGTAGGTATTTATGCCCAAACCTGCTTAGAGCTTAGTTAGCTGTCCTGTTATAATTATGTATAGCTATTCCTGATGTGTATATGAATGCATGCATGGCACCATTGTACTTACCTCCAGTAGCCATAATGCTGAAGACTTTAGAGTTAGACTGACAAGTGGATGTTTAAATTCTTGACCTGTATCCTAGAAAGAGTACTGTAGAGCACCATGTGTAACTCCTTCCCCCAGTTTCATATGTTGGAATGTTTTTGCTTGGGTATTTTTTTAAGTTAACTTCTGTGTCAGTGGCACATAAGAACCAGGATTCAGTAACTACACTGTATTGCTGTTTTTGTTTTATTGTGGTGGTCTGGAATTGATCCTGCAATATCTCCGAAGTATGCCTCTGTATTGCGCTTTGTGGATGTAGCCCAGCATTGAGTACTCGTGTCCGTGTACACTGGCATGATTTCCCCAGCAGGGGTTGCTCACTTTATGTCTTTGTTTTGTGGTTTGGTATTGTGATTCTCAAATTCTGTATTTCAAACTTTTTCATTATTATTGCATTACTGTATATTTGTATATCTGGTTTTCTGTGATCTTAAATGTACAGTAATTATTTTGGGGTGCCATGAACCATGCCTATATAAGATGTGTATGTTTTGCCAGCTCCACCGGCCATTTGGTCCTCTGTCTCTCTCCATCTCTTGGCCTGAGACACAACAATGGACTTTGAAATTAGGCCAATTAGATGGTGATGATGATGATTAGCATGTTTTAGCAATAAAATATTTTTGCATTAAGGTACTGCACTTTATGCACATTGGGGGGTTTTTTTAGACATAATGCTGGTGCACACTTAATAGACTATAGTATGCAGTAGTGTGAACATAGCTACAATATATGTGACCAGAGCTATTACTATATTGGACTTATTTCTGTGGTCTGGAACCAAACCTGCAATATCTTCAAGGTATGCCTGTACACGAAGATGTGACTGTTTACAGGTGCCATTTCATCCTACTCCTTGTGACTCTTCTTCTCTTTCTCCTTCCCTTTTGCTAAAGGCTTAGCTGTTAGCCTTGGCATTGGAGCATTGGCAGAGGTTGCAAAGAAGAGTCTTAGATCTGAAGATCCCAATGGTAAGTGTTATTTGCCTAATGCTAATACAAGCTTCTGGTCGTGTGTGTCTCAGAGCAGCTTCAGAACTGCAACTGTTTTAAAGCCACAATAAGGAAATGCCAACTAATAATGCTTTTGTAGTACTTCTGCATTTAGACTTGATTTGTAATGAACCAGTGCAACTACCTGTAATTTTTACCCACTTTGAAGAAATGAAAATTTTAATTTGAGGTGATGATGTACATTTAAGTAAGGCAAATTCCTGCCTATTGTCCCTCAGGTGGGGAAAAATTAAATTGTAGAGTAGTGTAAAGTATTTTGCTCCTCGGAATAATTCATTGGTGTTCTGACCTTGATCAACACCAGAAATTTAAGTTATCTTGTTCAAATCTTCAAAATTTTGCCTGACTTGTTTGCAGCTGTCCTTGAACTTGATTTAGAACAGGGGTCCTCAAACTTTTTCAACAGGAGGCCAGTTGAAAGGACCTGTTGGTTGGTGTGGGCTGGCAAGGCAGTGCTAGTGGTGCGCGCGGGCCATGAGGGGGTGGGGCGACGCGTGTGCATGGCAAGGTGGGGGCATGTGGCGAGGCAGCAGTGGGCGTGCACAGCGGGGCAGTGGCTTGCTCGCTTGGAAAGTGTTTTCTCCACGTGAGTCCAAAACGATCTCTGCGCGAGCAAGCTGTTGCCTTGCTTGGCATGGGTGGGGCGAGTTCAAAACCTCTGAGGCAGGCTGGATAAATGGGCACAGTGGGCCGTATGCAGCCCATGGGCCGTAGTTTGAGGACCCATGCTTTAGAATTTTGTCGTCTCATTCTTTCCTATTTGGAGTATTAAAAATAGTTCTTGTTTCAACATAAATAGATATCTTGTTTGTCTTAGAGGTGGCTAACAATCATTCACTGAAGTGAAGGTTATATAGAATATATCTGAGATAAGGAAACTGTGTTATTGTTCAAAATGTTTTGAACAAGTCATTTCTGTGGTTGGATTGACTACAGTCTCACATTTTATCTTAATGAAAGTTCACAGAGGTTGGGAAAGGGTTGGACTTCATTCTATCTAACACTGCAGAGCAGGTGGGAAGAGGGAGTATTGTGCAAAACATGTATCTTACTGCCAGGTGTCAAGTCTCCCAGTGCACCTTTTTAAAAATACAAACCTGATTCCCACTCTTAAAGTATTATAACAATGGAAGCCCACCTTAAAGTAAAAGGTGTAGCTTTCTGATGGCTTCATATGAATGGGTTATTCTAATGCTTCCTGTTAACTTGGAAACAGTAGAGGATATTACTGACATTGACTGGCAGCTGCACATGATTGCCATCCTCTTCTGTAGGCCACAGCTTTCCAAGGGCTTAAGTAGAGTACTTTCTCTATCCTGCTTCCTGAAACCTTTCTAATTGGTGATTTATTCGATTAATATAATAAATCTAGAGAACACTTTTCTGCACTACAGGATTACATACACCATAGGCAGCAAAGGTGATTAGCAATAATAAAACTATAATAAAAACAGTGATAAAGTTAAAACATATGAACAGATTAAAAAGTTTGGTGTCATATCAATAAAATGATGCTGGGGCATAACTTTGAACTGAGCTGCACACATTATATCATTGACTTGTGCCCTCTTTTATCTTAAACTTGCTCTCTGAACTTTCTCCCCCAACTTTCTCTGGTAATTGTTCCCTTTATAGCCTTCATGTGCATGCTTCCATAGGAATACTTATAGCATTACCATAAGCAAACATGTTATATTTGGAGAAGCCATTGATCCTCTCATGAGGATACAGAGCTAAGATGTGTTTATATACGTTAAAGCAAGGGCAAAGCAAGCTATAGCTTGTTTTTAATTTGTTGCAGAAATAAATAGAATTCATCATCACAGTATTTTTGCACAACTCTGGGATGCTCTAAATTGCCTGGGCATGGAGTGGAGGAGGCATTTGAGGTGAACACATTCTCAACCTAGTTACAGAATCCTTGAAGGCATTCCTCTTGTTTGGCAGCCTTGTTCCAAGGGCAGGGATTGTGCAGCAGTTCTGTTTACATTTTTCCTCCTGTTTATATGCGATACCTTGTATAACTGGTCACTCCCCAACTTGAATACAGGCTCAGCAAATAATTAAAAGACGTAAAACTCACTGTTGCTCACAGACTGTTAATTTGGCATTTGGGTGGCGGCTGAAAGAGAACTGTGTTCCTGGGATTTGTTATAAGGAGAAGTGAACTGTCAAGAGCTCTTTGTTTTGTGTTAATTTGTTGGTCTGTTTACAGAAGAACTGTAGGCATTTTTGTGTGATGGGCAAAGTCAAATGTCTGTTAGTTCAACAAGAAGCTAGTGCTTCCTGGAGCAATCCTGCAAACCAGTAGAAACCCCAGAATAGAATAGGTCAAGCAAGCTCCCTTCTGCAAGCTTCCACTGATTTGTTCTGTTCTAGAAATGCTACTTTGGGCTAGTTGCTTCAAGAAGTGGTAGCTTCATTGCTGTAGTGGTGGTTTTCAAATGCAGTAGACTCTCTGTTAACTGGAGCTCAAGCAACCGGCACCGTCAAGCAACCAGCAAAGAAATCAAAGAAATACTACTTTTTAAAAAAAATTAAAAGAAAATCAGTTTCTAGTGGAAATTTTAAGTTTAAACTTAAGTGCACCACACTGTGTGCTGTGCTGTGAGTAAACCCACGCTTTGTGTACTACATGTTTGTCTCCCACTCCCGCCAATTCACTGTGTGTAAACATGCCGCTTGGTTGGGATCTATTGTTCAAATTTTGTGTTCTCACCCAACCCCAAGTATGCAGAAACAGGTCCCAAGTTAGTGTAAACACACAGTGCTTACCCTCAAGCAGAAGATGGAAATATGCAAGAGGCTTGAGGAAGGTGAGTTGGGCAGTGGTCATGAAGGTATTTAATGTGGGTTCGTCATTTATTTGTCATAATTTACTTTTAATTACTATTTCCCAATATTAATATGAAGTCAGTACAGAGTGTATGGTATGGTATGGTATGGTATGGGCTATAGAGCCTATTTTTAATAGTAACTCTCAAGCAACCATAAACTACATTTATCTGGCATATACCAATCCCCATGGGTGCTGGTTAACTGGGAGTATTCTCTCACTCTGCCTTGGCCTCCCTCCCTCCCTCCCTCCCTCCCTCCCTCCCTCTGTGTGTGTGTGTGTGTGTGTGTGTGTGTG